ATCCTTTTGTTAAGTTTTTGGCCAGGGGTGGGTAGTTATTTTTTAATTGATATTTGAGGTTGGGTAATCAAATTTTTGTCTTTTTAATGGTTGGGTCAGCAAAATTTTTGACACGGAAAACATTTCTCTTCGGTGCCACCCCCCGCCATAAATAATGACCGGTCCCTTATTAATTACAGAAATTTAACATTCAAAAATATTTAGCTTTTTTGTCATTGTAAACTTTATACCGTATTTCCTTTTCCGTCAAAACACTTTAAACTTTATTTTAACCGCATTACCGTGGTCGGCACAGCATCCGGGACCTGTATCCTGATGTGGCCGGGAAATATGCTAATTAGGTTTCGTCATGAACGACCAACGGCGAGATCAACCTCGTCTCCAGGCTCTCGAATATAACTGAACTATTAAATGTTCTTGTTGAATGTGAAAGTTCTAATATACGTAGGCTGTTAAAAAGGCTGTTTCTAATTAACATTTTTTGTATAGTGTCAGTATCAATTAGAAGTAATTTAAAACGAGTTATGAATTAATGAAGTCGACATTCAAATTAGTGACAATTTTTTATTGAAGAACGACATTTCAACAAAATTAAATCTGACAACGCAAATTCCACTTCTCTGCCTGAGATCCTGACCGCAAATAAACAGGAAGTAACGTAATTCTAATAGAAGGGATGGGATGCAAAGTTTAATTAGAGCATTTAATTAGAACATTTAATCAGTGTGTTTAGTAGTAATATTTTTCTAGTAATATCTATTGTTATTATCATAGTTTATTATTGTTCTTAATTTTCGCATAACATAGAAACATATTAATTCAATTTATTTCCTCATTTGCAGCCGAAAATTTACATACTCGTCAAAAACTTCCTACGCTAAGGCCTACGCCTGAATTAATTTATTGAATCAAAATCTCTATTCTCTAATATCTTGTTTGTTTGTTTTTAACAAAAAAACGCTCTAGTGTAGATCTGTTTGGGCAAGGTACTGTAAAACCATGTGGTTACCAAGTCTACGCCAAATTCAGGTATATTTGAGGTGTGTTTTGACTACATAGTGACGATATATGAACGCTGTTTTTCATCAAACCAATATTTCGCAGATTATTAATTGTTTCTGTATTGACGTCATAAGTTGGTAAACTCGGTCTCTGATTGGTCAGATCATTGCTACAGGAAGATTAATCTGTCAAAGAGCACTCGAGACAATTTTCGCTTCATTTTTGCGACCAATATTGGACGTTCAACCGACAATTTTACGACGAATTCAAACGGGTTACTTTGTATATTTTGAAGACTTTTTGCTGTGGAATATCATACAAATATTTTGCTGTTTTTTATGGACTTTTTTTTCTTGCCAAAGTAGGCTTGCTTGAGAGGACTTTGAGAGGATTTTAATAACATATCTTGTTGTATATAATATTTGCTTAGAATGTGACGATCAATAGACTACCAATGAACATGCTTTAATGGAATAAATGGATATCTTAGTGGACATTTGAACTGTTATTAAAGTCAAATCATTGTTAAAACGGACAATCGAAAGCAATTGAAAGTTGAAGATTAAAAGTTCAACAAGGAACTATCGCGTAACTTAAATTCCTTTTCAGTATTACGCAGGAACTGAGAGTTGTATTTATCTCTATAAACGTATCGTAAATCGAAGGAAAGATGGAAGGCTGCTTTCTTGGAAATGGCGAACGTCTGAATTTCAGTAATATGACTCAATTCCCGACTTCTGATCCAGTGGTTTGGAATATTGACGAAGGTTGGTGCGTTTTATTTGTCTTCCAGATTATAAATCACAAGTCGCGTGACAGAAAATTATTTAAATATGTAGCAATCATAGCAATATGTTGCTATTAATCACTATTAATGAATACCCTGATACAACATTGCAATATGTTGCAAATTAATCCATAGAAATTGTAGCAAATTTAGCAGTATGTAGCCATTAAGCTAGCAATATTTAGGGGCGAGGTATTAATTGGGACGAAAGTCCTGTTTCTCATACCAATGTACCTTGTCTTGTAACATATTATGTATATCCAGTGTCAGTGTAAACATTTGTGACCTATTTAATAATAATAATAATGATAGTATGTACCACATAGATGCATATACAAAGCCCTCTCTGCATGATATTCTTGAATGTTTATAGTGCGATTTTCTTCTTTTACTGAGCATATGTAGTCTCATCTGAACATTCAAAAAACTCATTCACTTATACTTCTGTGAGAAGAAAGAAAATCACATCTAAAATCACATTTTACTCATTTGGCCATGTTTACTCAATTACCTTTTAGTGAGTAGTGTGTATCTTCCTTATTTGTCTATTAGGCTGTGGGCTGTTGGCCAAAATTATTTCACTTCGTGGCAACCCCTTGGGGAATAGATTTTCTGTGATTCAATGCGTAGTACCATGAATACTTGACTACCACAAAAAGTTCCCAAGCAAAAAACTTGCCAAACACCGAGAAAATGGGTGATCAGTGATTACCCCTATTAAATTGTATTACTGCAAGAAAATGTGAAATTTTGTATTCAATTACAACAAAAATGACTTGCATCATCAGAAAGCTTACAAAAAACCACATATAAGACATTCAAACAGTTTTTTGATCCTTCAAAAATTCTTGAGTTATTGCTGTTTTAAATGTGAAAATTGGACCAAAATGTTGCAATAAGGACTGGGTACTAGGTCAAAAACGCGTTTTTGACAGCTTATAACTCGAAAACAATTTGAGATATAAAAAAACTGTTTAAATGTCTTATATCCAGTTTTTTGTAAGCTTTCCGATGATGCTAGTCATTTTTGTTGTAATTGAATACAAAATTTCACATTTTTTCGTTGTAATACTGATCACCCATTTTCTCGGTGTTTGGCAAGTTCTTTACTTGGGAACTTTTTGTGGTAATTGGGCATCTATGGTACTGTGCATTGAACCACAGAAAATCTATTCCCCAGGGGGTTGCCACGAAATTGTTTTTCCAAGCACTTTTTCGCACAACGGCCCACGGCCTATATGTAAACCATTAATTATTGGGAATAACAATACCATATTTACTCATTGAAGCACTACTGCCATTAGAGGAACAAAGACACAAAATTGACCCTAACAGTTTTTACTCATTTTAGAAGCGGTATTAGATGAACTGTATGGTATGCTAACAGCGGCCGATACTAACGCATATGACAACCAACTAAACCACATCCCCCAAATGCAAGACACTAATATGAATGCCAATTTACCCGAGATGAACAAACTTCAACATTTTGACGTATACAAACCACAGTTTCCATTGACCTCCAATCATGCAGCGTCCATGCCTGTTTTACCAACACAAGATCAGCCAATGAATTACAACCAGATCCAAAATTCAAATCGCCGTCCAGATTTTCAAGTACCACAACAACAGCCCAACGTTTACGCACCTTTGTCAAGATACCCACAGAACAATGCCATATGTAACCCGCCTCCCCAGAACAATGCCATACGTAACCCACCTCCCCAGAATAATACCATATGTAACCCGCCTCCCCAGGGCAATATCATATGTAACCCACCTCCCCAAAATATACCACCCTCGATAATTATCCCAGCTGTTGATAAGGTCCCTTCCCATGCCCCCTCAACTGAGTCGACATTGGTGACATTTGTGGATTTGAAAACATTCTACGAGAAAGGGCAGTGTCGTCTCCAGGGAAAATCTGAACAACGTTTAGACTATGCTTCTTCATTTGTCAGAATTTACTTAGAAAATCCAGATAATATACAGGTAGGGTATTATTGTACCATATCATAACATACCATGCCATACCATAACACATATCATACCATGCAATAATATACCATGCCATAATTCACCATAACTCACCACAGCATATCAAACCATATCATACCACAATATACTAAACCATATGACACTGTACTATATTATGCATACCATACCACAACATACCATACCATACCACAACATCTCATACCATATTATACCATAACTCACCACATATCAAACCATATCATACCAAAATATACTACATCTAAGCCATATGACACTATACTATATCATACCATAGTCCATACAACAACATACCATGCCATAACACTCACCACAACATATCAAACCATATACCTCACTATACCATACCTAACACCATACCATACCATAACACATTACACCATACCATAACACATTACACCATACCATAACACATTACACCATACCATAACACATTACACCATACCATAACACATTACACCATACCATACCATACCATAACACATTACACCAAACCATAACACATTACACCATACCATAACACATTACACCATACCATAACACATTACACCATACCATAACACATTAAACCATACCATAACACATTACACCATACCATAACACATTACACCATACCATAACACATTACACCATACCATAATCATACCACACCATGTCATACCAATCATACTACACCATACAATGACGTCTGGTACTTTGAAACCACAAGTACCATAGCAATCCTTAGCATAGCAGTCTTTACATTCCAGGCGAAATCAGCATGTGTTGAACGCTCTCCTGACGCAGCACACATACTAAAAGACAATGTCGGGCAAGTTCCATTAAAAATCCTGCCAGACGAAAGTGACCATTGGATAAAAGTGAATCTTGATGATGCAGGCAGTGAAGTGTATAAATTATCAAAAGTGAAAGGCGAAGAACGAAATCTATTTCGTATTGGTGTGAAATTGTTATTTAAAGATACAAACAAGTCTAAAACGTTCTACAGCGACGCTTTTCAAGTCAAGAGCAAACCAAAGGCAACAGGTACTAGTTCTAATATCTTGGTTTAATCATGTCCACAAACTTAAGCTTCTTTTAAAAATTCTAAATCTTGTGCTCGAGAGCTTTGCTGGCTTTCTTGCTCATTTTCCGCAACTCGTAACGTTTGAAATCCGGAAATTAACCACTCATTTTTCACCCTCCCCGAAAGAAACGTTATCTCACGTCCCATAAAAGGCTATTATTGTGGGCTGAGCTCAATGGGCTGTAGTATAATGAATTATCTTGCAATTATTTATTGAACAGAGGGTTTCTGTGAAGATGGAGAGAAGCCTATGATCAAAGTTGAACCATCAAATGCAACTGAGTTAAAAAAACGACCTGCTAAACGTCCAAGGATTGATGAACAAGGTCAAGGTACATGTATATAATATAGCAACACCTCTCAGCAAGACATCTTCAAGATGCGTTGTAAAATTATCAACCATTGCACAAATGATGTTAATGAACTGAAAACGATTTTGTCCTAAATTAACGCACGTTGCATGACAAGGTATAAAATTGCAAATTAATCGTAAACGACCATGAAGGTTTCAGAAAATCATTTACACCATTACAAACAGCTATTTACCACATACAGTATAAAATTTGATAAAGCCATTCTTATCTCATAACTTGCGCTGTTGTTTTGTAGATGTGATGATGTCAAGCCCACTGAGTACTGGTAAGTTTCAGTGAAACAAAAAGCACCCTGGGGCGTGTTGTTCAAAACTGGATTAGCGCCTAACCCGGGTTAAAATTTAACCTGTTATTTTTGTGTGTGTATTTCCGCACGTCTGTTTATTTCAAAACTTGAGAGAATAAAACTTCTATTGATCCAGATAAGATTTCGGGAAGAATATTTTCATATTTATAAACAAGCTGTAAGGCAGATTTCTTTGAAGATTTTGTCAACCCTTGATTAAGCTGACTGGTTTTTTAATAACCGCCCCCTTGATAGTACATACAGTAATATAAACGGTGAACAAGGCGTTTTACTCTGCCAACATTTTCCTTAACATACCCGGCAAGAGTGAACAAAAACGAAATAAAGAGAATATTGGCGGAGGGCCATGTTCAGTTTTTAATTTAGTATAACTGTGCACGTCACATTGCTTGGGTAGAAATTGTGTTGTAAGTTGCAGAAAAAACCCGCGTGTTTGTCACCAAAGGACAATGAATTTTTTTCAGGATCGTCTGTCTTCCCAGAAGTCATTACAGACCATTTGGAAGCGGCCACAGCGAACATCAAACACCTAAAAGTGAATCACCCCATCCAAACACCACGGGGAGACGTTGCGTATCATTTCAAACTCAAAGACTGTCCTAAGAACATCCAGTTAGAAGAAGGAGATCTCATTGGATTCTTTGAGAATCCTCATGATGGAAAGAGTGAGATTCGTCGCTTGACGTGTGATAATGCTCGCTATGCTAAGCTGGCAGGTGTGATCAGTAGGTCTGCTTGGTTAGAGGGGAAAACGCCAGGCGACGATGATAAAGGTAAAGACAAAGTCTTCTTTTACAAGGAAAGAAGCGACGAAATTAAACTATATTTGACTCAAGGTCAAGGATGTTGCGAAGCAACGTCTGTCAGTCTTTGTGGTTACTTGAGTGTGGGGCAGTTAAACAATGGGGGAAATGACCAGCCTGCTTTGCGCGCACTGTTTGCCTGCGAATCGGGCCTATTATTAAGAGGACATTTTTTTGTATGTTACGTAACACGCGCTCAAAACTAATGAGTGTAATATACCACTTGCTGTTTATGACTATACATCCAAAATTTTTATTTTTCGATACGTTTCTCAATCGGCAAACAAACTTCAAAAGTATGTTTAGTCCTTTATCTGTAAAATAATGCCACAATAAAGAGATTTTAGATGGTACGCCAAAGAGAAAATGATGTCTGAAGTTCAGCAAGTTTGGCTTATATTGCTGGCGTCAATTTTAAAGCGTCATTGATAATTGTATTTTAATTGACAATTTTTTGCTATTATTTTATGTCTCTCAACTGGCAAATGCATTCAAAAGGTTGCTATTAAACTGTATAAACTAGAGAATAAAGCAAAAACAAAGCAATTTTGAAATGTACGCCAAAAAAATTGCCTCTTAAATGTTTCTTATTTTAGATCCAACTGATGTGGTTTGCGTTATCGGAGTTGTAAAAGTCAAAGTGCGTGGTCCAGTTGAAAATGGCGAACGTATCTATGCATCGCTGTCGTCATATCCTGGCGTTGCTATGCCAGAACACGTGATCACGCAAGTGACGTCACAAGAACTAACGCTGATTGGCCAGTCTCTGGAGTCGGGCAAAGATAGTTCAGCTGATGCTGTTAATCTTGTGTCGTGTTTCGTGTCCATTCTCCTCAGCATTCAGACCCAGCATACTAACAAGGCACTCAGTGACATGCGTACTGATGTACTGGGAAATGTCGACAGTAAAATCAAGCGAGCAAAGAAGAAGTTATTACGAGGCAAGTAATGACATCACTTCTAAACTTTTCTTCCTAGAGATCCAGTAAGGATCATTCCTTATAAGTGATCCAGTGTTATTACAGAAGGAAACCTGAACTAAACTAACTTTATTTATACTGGATAGCTCTATCAGTTCTAAACTGTTCTCCCTAGAGGTCCAGTAAGGATCATCTCTTATTGATCCAGTGTTACTGCAGGAGGAAACATAAACCAAACCAACTTTATTTATACTGGATAGCTCTATCAGTTCTAAACTGTTCTTCCTAGAGGTCCAGTAAAGATCATCTCTTATTGATCCAGTGTTACTACAGGAGGAAACCTAACTAGACTAACTTTATTTATACTGCATGGATAGCTCTATCAGTTCTAAACTGTTCTCCCTAAAGGTCCAGTAAGGGCTATCACGTATTGATCAAGTGCAACTGAAGAGAAATTCTAGTCGGACAACTGCATATTGCCGGAAAGGAATACAGTGAAAAGGTGCACATGCATTTTAACCACTGTAGTACCGAGTATTTCCTGTATATTGTTTAGGTTTACAGTGGAAGCTACTGATCGTGGGGATATTCCTAGGTCTACTTGGTGTATTGTTGTATCAGCTGTATGCGCCATTGACAGCATTACGATATTGGCGATGTTCACTTGGCTCCATTGATGATTCCACGTCATCGTTCTCTTTCACAACTACAAACTATCAGGTAAACTATTTTCATGTCAGTAGGTGGGTTTGATTATGCTGGTGTTTACTATCGTACAGCAGACGATGGTGAGTCTGCAGTTCCCAGAGTGAGGAAATAATGTTTATTCTTTTCATGATATATAGGTTCCGAAAGTGAATGGGATTGAATTTCATTTTGATGATCTGATGGACAAGCTAGACGCGAACTTTAAACGAAAAAAGAACGACACAAGTAAGTTTTCAGCAAACTGTATTCACGTTTCAACAATAGCTGGATTTCAATTGTGAGATGTAATTTTGAAGCTGTTGACCACTCTCTGCTGTGATGACCCGCATGAATTCAAAACTCGTTTATTTTCACTTTAGTGTATCGTTACTATCTGAACATAGACCGCTGTGCAGCTGGAGGTCTCAAGTATGGTGTTCGGGGGCCTCTGTTCTATGTCATAGACAAGAAATGCAGTGCTGCATATTATTATTTTGATGGGACTTATAGCAAATATAAAAGTGGCAGGAATTTCTTGTGCTCGTTTGATGAAAGAAGCTGCAGTTATTGTAGCACTGATGAAAAAAATACTAAAAAGTGAGTATGGCATTTGCACTCCGCAGCGAGTTCTGTACAACACCAGACCATTTTAAGGTTGCTGACATTCAAGAACATGTACCACCTCTGCATGATCTAACCATGTTTATTAACTCAGCAGTAAGTTTTGTACAACATCAGATCTCTGTAAGGTACAGTAGCCTTTGCATGATCTAACCATGCTTAACTCAGCAGTGAGTTTTGCACAACATCAGATCACTTTAAGGTAGCTCACATTCAAGAACATGTACTACCTCTGCATGATCTAACCATGTTTAACTCAGCAGTGAGTTCTGTACAACATCAGATCACTTTAAGGCAGCTCACATTCAAGAACATGTACTACCTCTGCATGATCTAACCATGCTTAACTCAGCAGTGAGTTCTGTACAACATCAGATCACCCACATTCAAGAACATGTACTGCCTTTGTATGATGTAACCATGCTTAATTCAACAGTACGTTTGTGCAACATATGATTAATTTATGGTACCAACTGGGTTACGTAGGCTACGAAGTTCTGGAAACAATACGTTAAACACGACCCGCCTGGAAGAACAATGTTTATCAGGAATAAAAGAGAAGCAAAGAAGTGCGAGTTTTAAATATATTTCAGGCAAGACGATGAAGGTGAGAGATTAGTTAAAAGTATTTGTTTCACGATATACATGTAGTCCTGGTAGTTTTCGCAAACTTTATAAAGATGGTTTAGATGCGTTTCACTGATCACTGTCAGATAGTGGTGAACCTGCAGTTATCAGAGTGAACAAATTATGTTGACTGTTTTTGTTTGATGTTGACGTTTTCTATTTGCATGCATATAAATAAACGACTGTTAGTTTACTCTTCTTGCTTCTGTAAGGCCAATAAATAAAACTACAAGACAGAAACCATATTTTTGTTAAACTTAAAAAAACTTATGTTTTGTGATATGTATTGAAGATTACCACAAACTGATACAAACGCAGTTTTTAATCCAGCCCCCTCGGCAACCTGACTTACGTGTTGACAACATCGGAGACGTTTTTAACAGGACCTATGGAAACCTGAGACCAACAATTTATTGTTGGTATATTTCTGTAGCAGACTACCATCTGTTGACATAGATATCTTATATACACTACTAGATAGTGCATCTAATAATAATGCAATTCAAAAATTGAAGCCGTGATTGCAGACTCAGGATATTCCCATGAAATGAGAAGACTCGTATGTTTTCTATTTCTTAATTTTAAACAGGGAACTTAAACATTAAGTTAAACCTATTCCAAATACATTATTCAAATGATGAAAGTTATTGTTGTTTTTTAAGCGTTTATTAGCGAGTGGGAAACTCCAACATGGCCGCCATCTATTCAAATGGGGGTAACCGCTGGAATATTCTTGGCTTCAATTTTACTAAAAGAGATGCGCTATCTAGTGTATATAAGATATCTGTCTGTTGACTGTTGCCTTGTGACCCACTAGTAAACATATTTGGTTTATTACTCGCAATAAGAAACCAATTACTTCTTTTAAATAGGAAGTTTCCGTTGATGGCATTGAAGTAACGATCGATGAATTACAATTGGTATTAAATGAAACCATGAACGAAGCACCCAAGGACAAATGTAAGACAATCTAAACTAAGCTGTTAGTTTTATATTGCCCAGCTCTATTATTAACTCTCGAGAGGTCCAGTAAGGATCATCTCTTATTGATCTAGTGTCACTATACAAGAGGAAACCTAAACTAAACTAACTTTATTTATATCGGATTGCTCTATCAGCTCTAAACTGTTCTCCCTAGAGTTCCAGTAAGGGTCGTCTCTTTAATATTGATCCAGTGTTACTGCAGAAGAAAACCTAAACTAAACTAACTTTATTTATACTGGATATAGCTCTATCAGTTCTAAACTGTTCTTCCTAGAGGTCCAGTAAGGGTCGTCTCTTTAATATTGATCTAGTGTTACTGCAGAAGAAAACCTAAACTAAACTAACTTTATTTATACTGGATATAGCTCTGTCAGTTCTAAACTGTTCTTCCTAGAGTTCCAGTAAGGGTCGTCTCTTTAATATTGATCCAGTGTTACTGCAGAAGAAAACCTAAACTAAACTAACTTTATTTATACTGGATATAGCTCTGTCAGTTCTAAACTGTTTTTCCTAGAGTTCCAGTACGGATCATCTCTTATTGATCCAGTGTTACTACAGGAGAAAACCTAAACTAAACTAACTTTATTTATACCGGATAGCTCTGTCAGTTCTAAACTGTTCTTCCTAGAGTTCCAGTAAGGATCATCTCTTATTGATCCAGTGTTACTACAGGAGAAAACCTAAACTAAACTAACTTTATTTATACTGGATAGCTTTATCAGTTCTAGACTGTTCTCCCTAGAGGTCCAGTGAAGATCATCTCTTATTAATCCAGTGTTACTACAGGAGAAAACCTAAACTAAACTAACTTTATTTATACTGGATAGCTCTATCACTTCTAAACTGTTCTTCCTAGAGGTCCAGTAAGGGTCATCTCTTATTGATCCAGTGTTACTACAGGAGAAAACCTAAACTAAACTAACTTTATTTATACTGGATATAGCTCTGTCAGTTCTAAACTGTTCTCCCTACAGTTCCAGTAAGGATCATCTCTTATTGATCCAGTGTTTTACTACAGGAGGAAATGTAAACTAAACTAACTTGATTTATACTGGATAACTCCATCAGTTCTAAACTGTTCTTCCTACAGTTCCAGTAAGGATCATCTCTTATTGATCCAGTGTTTTACTACAGGAGGAAATGTAAACTAAACTAACTTGATTTATACTGGATAACTCCATCAGTTCTAAACTGTTCTCCCTACAGTTCCAGTAAGGATCATCTCTTATTGATCCAGTGTTTTACTACAGGAGGAAATGTAAACTAAACTAACTTGATTTATACTGGATAACTCTATCAGTTCTAAACTGTTCTCCCTACAGTTCCAATAAGGATCATCTCTTATTGATCCAGTGTTTTACTACAGGAGGAAATGTAAACTAAACTAACTTGATTTATACTGGATAACTCCATCAGTTCTAAACTGTTCTCCCTAGACATCTAGTACCAGTAGTACGGGCTATTCTTGGTCCAGTGTTACCATAATGTAAACTTTATTTACACATGTGACTGAGGTATAATCAAACAAGTGTATAGGACAGCAATCAAAACCCAGTCTCAACAGCTAGAGACGCGAGTGACCATTAGTCCATTATAAACAATCGTAAAATTCCAAACCTATTATTATTTTGTAGCTGTTCGATATTTCTACAATCTCAAACGCTGTTCTGAGAATGCACTTGGTCCCAAGTCCTTTGCTGTGATAGGAAAATGTGATAACTCACATTATTATAGTGATTCTGGTAAGAAGTGGAAGAAATATAAGACAGCTAGAGACGTTCAATGTGTACCTTCGTGCTAGAATGGATATTTTCTTCATCAACGACACCATGTTGGATCTCAATGCACAATGGTATTGCAAGACTAGTTGGCAGCCAAGCTTAATTATGCCAAGCCTAGCAAGATGTAAGCGCGCAGTTTTGAATAGAACTAAAGATATGTAATAATGAACACGTAAGTCGCTTTTACCAAGCAGTATCGTACAGCAGGTGCTGGTTAACCTGCAGTTATCAGAGTGAGAAAATAATGTATATTCGTACTATTCTGTGTAGTAGAAGAGATGTAGTTTTAAAGAAACCAAAGAATACACTTTGGCTATACAGCCTCGTTTTCGTGTGTGTATATGACATCAGCTAAAACCCAACGTCTCAATTACATACGAGGCTGTATAACCAAGGTGTTTTCGGAAGCGTGTATTGAACTGTATTGTTATGCACTTTTATGCACTAGAATCAGTGATCTAATGTTGTAAGTTTTACATTTTTCCACTGATAACATTCATAATTTTAACATATAAAGCATTTTCATCTGTAAATAACACACACTTTAAAGAAAATTCAAAAGAAATGAATTTTTAATCAATGTTTGTAAATCGGAGGATAAAGATTTGTCGTGATTTACATAAACTTCAGCTTTGATTTTCTCGACTGAGACATAAGATGGGTCTTTTTTTAAGTAAGTTAAAACATTCGCATCCGTCAAGATCGACTGCTCATGTTTTTAACTGGTACTAAAACATTTTAAGGAGACTGCTCCATTTACTGTTCGGAGTACTCCGGATTTTCGGTAATTGAATCGAACCGAAGACGATCACATGACTCTTCTGACTGCCCCTACTCAAAAGTAGAGACAGTAAGAAAAGTCATATTCCGAACAGTAAATGGAGTAGCCTGAAGTCTATTGTCACGTGACATCTTGTATGATCTGCGACTGTTCATCGTCAGATGCAAACGACGGCACTGGTATCCAGTTTCCTTGGCGCGGCTCTTCAAATTTATCAAAATGGCGCTCAACAAGGAGCGAAGTCTGCGAAGACTTTAAGAAAACCGCTATGGAGTCGAAAAGAAAACGGTTGTCTATGAATAAATCTGAAAATAAGCAAGTAAAGAAGCTGAAAGAAGAAGATAAAGGTGTTGAAAGTTTTACAGCACCGAGAAAGGGAGAAAAAGTGAATAACGCAAAGAAACGCCCGCTATCTGGCCCTATCGTTAGCTGTTTTCTTAAACAACAACAACAACAACAACAACAACAACAACAACAACAACAACAACAACAACAACAAACAAAAAGCGTGACATGTCCTATGTGTAACAGTCTGGTGCTATATAAAAACATCAATCAACATTTAGATGATGCTTGCCAAGAGAGAAATGAAAGGAGTTTGTCCAGTCTACAGGGTAAGCATCTGGTTATGGGGTGGGAAGGCTGAGGGTGTGAATGTGAATTTATAACGCCAGTGTTAATTCAGTATTATAAGTGTGTTATAGTACTAGCATGCACAGGCAGAATGTCTTCTTTGCAAAATGTATGCGGAAAATCTTTCACGCACCCAATAAAAACACAGTTCTTAACAATGCAGCACCTTCTGTTATCAGAGTGAGGAAATACTGTATTTATGGGCGTGGCACGCATTTTTTAGTGTTAGCAGTGCGGCATAATATGAGGGCGGCACTTGTTCAAGGACAGTGCTCTTTATATAATATTTCATTTATTTTACATAATGGCAATAACAAGAAATATTAGAAACAAAATATCAAAACACTGAAAAATGTTCCAACGCTTATTAAAGGTGATCTACAGTCCGTATGTAAACAAAGCCTTTGTTTACATTTTTGTGTCCAAAATATTGAGCTTTATTCGACAACTATTTATATTTTCAAGCTTCTAGCGTATAATAAATGATCAAGAAACAACAATCAGGCTTTTCAAGAACTCAAAACATAGTTAAACTGTTTGTATCTTAAAAAGTGGGCTCATTTGTGCACATGCGCAGATCGGACTGTAGATCACCTTTAAAGATTAGAACCTCATTGCAACAATTTTTCAAACAGTGCTTTGATTAAGCGCCATGTTGTCAGTAAAGTGCGGTGCTTATTTGAAGGTGGTGCTCTTTAATAACATGTAAATTATATGGTAATATGTGTATTCTTTTCATTATATGTGCTTGTATTAGCAGATAAATAGAATTAAGAGATGTGGTTTCATTTTCTTGCTCTTACTGTATAATGTTAATGGCCCTGCTGGCTTGCAATTAAAATGCATCACGTTTATAAATGTTATAGGCTGTGCATTTGAAATGAAAGATGCTGACTTGGTTTCAACTCCAAGAGAGAAAAAGTTTATTGCTGGCCCTGAAAGTAATGCTCCTGCAGTAACATTTCAGGATGACTTGGATGCAATAATTGTGTTAGAAAGTGATGAATTACCTAATGTGGAAAAGGATGAGAGATTACATAATGATGAAGTGATAAGTTCGATTAACAAGTCATATCTTCATAATTTCATGTTGATCATGACAACAGTTTTCTCACAAAAAGATGACAAAGAGTTATTCAATGATAGTGACAATACTGTGGTGAATTCTTTCCAAGAACTGGGCGATGAGTCGAAGATGTTGTATGTGAGATTGTTTCAGAGAAAATATAAATGGTTCCGAACAAGCAACATTAAATATCCAAAAATTTCTGAGAACCTGCAACCATGTTTTGATGAATTAATTAAAACAGGTAAGTAAAAGTTACAAAAAATTTTTATAAAAATTTTTACAAATTGTTGAATTGCAGGACGATAACAAGGTTTGTCAATGTCTGTTGAGCTCAACAACCTTGTAACAAGTTGTCAACAAGCTGGGAACAAGCAATGTGAACACATCCTGTTGACAAGATGTTGGAACAACATTGCCATATAAGTCTACATGCTGCAGGTTTGATACAAGTTGTACATTTGTAACATTAAAATGTTTGCATTTTTTTTTAAGGTTTTTTACTTACAGAAACAGAACTGGATGATTTGACAGCAATTTTCAACCTGCTACCTGCAGAAGATGTGCAAGAGTTAGCAAAATCCATGCACATTCACACCAAAGCACAAACCAAGAAAAACCTTGTGAACGCCCTCATGAAACAAAGCAAAACACAATGTTCCCTCTTTTCTACTAATGGAGACAGAATTGAGAAGGCCATCATGAAGAGGTATATTAAAGTTTTACAATGATTACAATGACTGACAGACTGAGTCTATATTTCATTTTGCTTCAGTTGTATCTGAGATGAATATTTCCAGTTCTATCAGACCCTCATGCAGGTTTTCTCCTGAGTCTCTTGTGAGAACAGCTAGGGACCGGTTGTTCAAAGCTGGATTAGCACTATAACCCTGGGTTAAAATTTAACCTGCTGTTTTAGTTTGTGTATTTCTACACGTCTGTTAATCTGTTTATTTCAAAACTTCAGAGAAGAAAACTCCCACTGATTCAGACAAGATTTCCAAAGAAATATTTCCAAATTTATAAACAAGCTGTTGGGATTGAAGTTTGCTTTGAATTTTAGGTTAACATAGGGTTAAGCTGATTGGCTTTGGAACAACTGTCCCCTGAACTGAAAGAGCTTTTCAGTTGAAAGACAGCTTCAGTTTGCATTAGTTAATATTTCATTTTCCTCATTTCAGAGCAAAGTCCTTGCTTGGTGCATGTGTGAAACTCGAGTCTGAAGTAAGAAATGTTTTCTCACGAGTCATCTTATTGTTTACTCTCAACTTGATGAGGGATGATGACGATAATTATGGAGCTCAATTGTAAGTTTTTATACTGATGTCACTTTTACCACCACCCAATTTTACCCCCACTCAGTTTTAGTCACCACTCAATTTTACCCCCACCCAATTTTACCCTCCACCCAATTTTACCCCCACTCAATTTTAGACACCACTCAATTTTACCCCCACCCAATTTTACCCCCACCCAATTTTACCCTCCACCCAATTTTACCCCCCACTCAATTTTACCCCCACCCAATTTTACCCTCCACCTAATTTTACCCTCCACCTAATTTTACCCCCCACACAATTTTACCCCCCACACAATTTTAGTCACCACCCACATTTACTCCTTCCCAAATGTCATCCACCACAATCCCCTCCCTCCCAATTTGTTTTTACGCCTGTGTATCTTGGGGATCGCGTTCAGGTGTTTTCTGAAGATATTTTCTGAGCACACAAGCTTGAGAACTACAATCTAATTACTTATCTATATCTTTACATATTGCTATCCTGTGAGTAGATTTGAGTAAGTGTTAATGTGTTTGCTCTTAGCATTAAATTGAAATTTATGCTAACAGGATTTGTTAAACTTGGGGTTCAGCGCGATGTGATTTCTACATGTACGCTAAACACACTTATTATTTGGCAGGTCGTCGATATTTTTGAGCAACATTGGTAAAATAGTCTACCCGAGCTATGACATATCCAGACACACAGCGATATTCCAAGATAGAGATGATGTCATCAATTATGATTTGGCCAATCAGGATCTTTGTCTCATGGACCATGCCATTGAGCGAAAAAATTTTGATGAAGCAATAAAAATATATTGGAAAGTCCATGAGCAATATGTGGAAGCACTGAAGAAATTGAGTAATGGGGATCCTCGTCTGATTTATGTAAGATTTTCGTGAAGTACTTTATAAGCCATGAAACGGTAAAAACAGTGCATTTTTTTCCTAGACTAGAAAACTACTAAAGCTCTGTGATCGAGAGAATATAGTGCAAATGACGTGAATTCTGGGACAAAACTAGCCACGTGTATTTCAAGACCACCACCTACACTGAGAACCAGCAGTTTGAAGTTTAGACTAGTGAGAATCTGCCACAAAGGACATGTATTTCAAGACCACTACCTACACTGAGAACCAACAGTTTGAAGTTTAGACTAGTGAGAATCTACCACAAAGGGCGTGTATTTCAAGACCACTACCTACACTGAGAACCAACAGTTTGAAGTTTAGACTAGTGAGAATCTACCACAAAGGACGTGTATTTCAAGACCACTACCTACACTGAGAACCAACAGTTTGAAGTTTAGACTAGTGAGAATCTACCACAAAGGACGTGTATTTCAAGACCACTACCTACACTGAGAACCAACAGTTTGAAGTTTAGACTAGAGAGAATCTACCACAAAGGACGTGTATTTCAAGACCACTACCTACACTGAGAACCAACAGTTTGAAGTTTAGACTAGTGAGAATCTACCACAAAGGACGTGTATTTCAAGACCACTACCTACACTGAGAACCAACAGTTTGAAGTTTAGACTAGTGAGAATCTACCACAAAGGACGTGTATTTCAAGACCACTACCTACACTGAGAACCAACAGTTTGAAGTTTAGACTAGAGAGAATCTACCACAAAGGACGTGTATTTCAAGACCACTACCTACACTGAGAACCAACAGTTTGAAGTTTAGACTAGTAAGAATCTACCACAAAGGACGTGTATTTCAAGACCACTACAGTACATACGCTGTGAACCAACTGTTTGGAGTTTAGGCTAGCCAGAATGACGTGCATTTTCCAGACTTAGTAAGACTTTACTTCAAAAGACATGTCTAGAGTATTCTGAGAAACAGCGGACTGAGACAAATGATAACATTCTTTCTTTTCCATACAGTCGGTAAAACTACCAGAACATTTGCGTCGCTTCACCGCAACGTGGTTATTTACCAGGATGTGTTCCCGGGGCGTAGACATACTACAGCGCAATAAAAATTATGTCGAAGCCGTTGAGTTACTACGTCAATTGTTGGGGCAGAATGAATTCTGTCCAAATCGCAGAGGATGGTGGTGGGAACGACTTGCTCTAAATCTGGATCAACATCTGAAGAAACCTGCAGAGGTAACGACATTTTTACTTCTCCGTGCCTTCTCTACAATGTCTACCACCTCGTATCTTCTGATCTCTTCATTCCATACCATCTCAGCCATTCATACCTGCATCTCAACCTTGCTTCTCTCATCTTCTCTACAATGTCTACCACCTCGTATCTTCTGATCTCTTCATTCCATAATGTCTCAGCCGTCCATACCATCTCAGCCATTCATACCATTTCAACCTTGCTTCTCTCATCTTCTCTGCAATGTCTACCGCCCCACATCTTCTGATCTCTTTATTACAATATACCATCTCAACCATTCATATCATCTCAGCCTTGCTTCTCTCATCTTCTCTGCAATGTCTACTGCATACCCCACATCTTCTTCTGATCTCTTCATTCCATCTCAGCCATTCATACCATCTCAGCCATTCATACCATCTCAGCCTTGCTTCTCTCATCTTCTCTGCAATGTCAATCTCACATCTTCTTCTGATCTCTTCATTCCATAATGTCTCTGACCAGCTCTCCTTCATCTCTTCTTATTACGTGTCCATACCATCTCAGCCTTGCTTCCCTCACCTTCTCTGCAATGTCTACCACACCACATCTTCTGATCTCTTCATTCCATAATGTCTCTGACCAGCTCTCCTTCATCTCTTCTTATTACGTGTCCATACCATCTCAGCCTTGCTTCCCTCACCTTCTCTGCAATGTCTACCACACCACATCTTCTGATCTCTTCATTCCATAATGTCTCTGACCAGCTCTCCTTCATCTCTTCTTATTACGTGTCCATACCATCTCAGCCTTGCTTCCCTCACCTTCTCTGCAATGTCTACCACACCACATCTTCTGATCTCTTCATTCCATAATGTCTCTGACCAGCTCTCCTTCATCTCTTCTTATTACGTGTCCATACCATCTCAGCCTTGCTTCCCTCACCTTCTCTGCAATGTCTACCACACCACATCTTCTGATCTCTTCATTCCATAATGTCTCTGACCAGCTCTCCTTCATCTCTTCTTATTACGTGTCCATACCATCTCAGCCTTGCTTCCCTCACCTTCTCTGCAATGTCTACCACACCACATCTTCTGATCTCTTCATTCCATAATGTCTCTGACCAGCTCTCCTTCATCTCTTCTTATTACGTGTCCATACCATCTCAGCCTTGCTTCCCTCACCTTCTCTGCAATGTCTACCACACCACATCTTCTGATCTCTTCATTCCATAATGTCTC